AAGGACTCGCCGTGTCAGCAAGAAGGAGGCTCAGCGCCGTGAGTGATCTATCTAGATAAAATCCTACTCAGTACACTTACCCTAATTTCCAGTTGCCGACAAGGAGGAAGCCGCTGCACGCAAGACTTCTAGAGCTGCTAACACTGCAAAAAGGCAGCGTCGTGGCGAGAGGGGTGAATCCCCCGTACCTCTCGAGGACAGTGTAGTGCGTATTCGATCCTATCATACCGACGAATACTTACCCCTTGTAGTTTACCTCTCGTGATGTAGAGGCGCATCCCAAGAAGGTGAAGACCCTCCAGCAGCGCGACACCCGCATTCCAGCGACGCAAGCCAGAGCTGCGGCCACAGAGCAGCCGTCGCGCGGCCGACCCCGCGAGCCGATGCAAGACCTTCGTTACATTGTATGTGCTTTATTTGTTTGCGGCCTCTACTATCTTTCTCTTCCTTCGAAGAACCCGAGCCGTCAAGCTGAGGCGGGCCCCAGCCGCCATAGCGGCGCTCGTGCCGAGGCGTTCGATAGCCCTCGGCGAGGCCTGGCTTCGAGCAGTATCAGTGACTGGCGCCACTCTGCCGTCGCGCCGAGGCCCATTGAGAGCGACGAAGAGCCGCGTCCCCGGGTACGTCATTCGTTCTCACTTGGACGTCTTTCTGAGTAGACGTAGTCCATCAATGGGAATATCTTCCCCGAGAGTGTCCATCTCGACCTACACTCCGGCGCCTCCAGCTCGCGCCCTCAGCCTTCGACCACTTCGGCCAATGATGGTCGCCCGCATCAAAAGCCTGTGCAGCGCCGCGAGCCCCACGTCCGATTGGAAAGCCGCAGCCCGTCCCATTCGCCAGCAGCAGGGGACAAATGTGCTCGCTCCCCGGTCCAAGACAATGACCTCCGGCCGACTCAGGCCCAGAAGATAAGTGATAATCAAGGGCGACCTCGGGCGAAGGACTACGACGACACCACGCAGGAGCTTATCAGCATCGCTAACACCTGGTACCGGTGCTTACTCGCGACCGAAGACGCATTCCCCGACTCCACGACAGAGACGGTCATGGTTACCGCAGCTTGGAAGACAGCCTGCGAGGAGCTGCAGGTGGCGGTGCGCTTGACACCGGATATTGCCAAGTTGGTAAGATTCAGGCTTTGTTTGATATCCTTGCTAATCGTTGTCTAGATTATGAGGCGTGGATCCCAGATGCGTGGGGAGCTCAAGACCAAAGTCCGCGCTCTCGCCGAGCTAGTATTTGGCTTCGAGAGCGGCCAGAACAAGAAGATCATCCGCAAGAATCGGCAGCGGGCAGAAGACTTGAAAGACGGCATGGGATATACCTACAAGGTAAGCTCGTGCCACCATTCCCGTTCCTGCACTCACACTGCGCAGGAATCCCCCGCCATCGCTTCCGAGCGCAGGGGGATGTACAAAGGCCCCATAATTCAGAAGTCCGTGAACGGCATGTGGTTTAACAATCGCCGTGATGAAGGGGCCACGCACCCCCGGCTTTTTGGACCTGCGCTCCCCAAACCTACCTTCGCGCTGGTCCTCACTGCGGTATGCATTTCAATTCGCCATTGAATCTATTCTGATGATCGTATAGATTGAATGCTGTGTCGACGAGTGGGCCAGCAGCATCAAGACCGACGTCTTGTTCACCGCTGCCGACTATCGGTCGGTATACCTTGAGCACCTCAAGTGCCTCGACGAGTTCGAGAAGGCCACGGCACCGCGTCGTATCCTTGACAACATCCTGACGCGTCTGCACAACATCGGCCGGCAAGTCCTCGTGTTTGTATGTCAATTACCATCGCTGATGTATCATCTTGCCAGCTTCCACTCCGGCGCCCAGCCTATTACGGCTATCCCGAGGGCAGCTTTATCGACGGCGGTGCCCCAGGCGGCGATTCGCGAGTACGAGGAGGACGAGAACACTAAGAGCGATGGAGAGGACGGCAAACGCTCCGACGCTTAGATTACTGCCTAGTTCTATGTATCCAATTTATTTATTATATGATGATTTTTTCTGTATTCTCCTAGACCTGCGAGTGGATATGTGGTGGATTCACAGCTATCGACTGCCATGGAGAGCTACGATGCTACGAGTCTACGGGGATATTTTAGTCACACGTATGACTACAAATCACTCTGTAGCGGTCTGTAGCTGATGCTCGGAGCTATGCCTGCTACAGACCAGGGACATAGCTACCACGCTATACCAGCTATGCTGGCTATATTGTGCTATGTGCGCATGTGGTTTTTTGCTGATGGACTACGGAGACTGCGCCGCAGGAACAGGATGAGTCACCGGAACCTTACATTTCCTATCTCATTCGCTGCAACCAGCGCCCGTCTACTCACTCGGCTGGTCAACACCCACTCTTTTCAGCCCATTCTTGACGAGAACTATTCCGCCAGCCCAATGCACGCACGCACGTCCCTCGCCACAACATCCTGTCACGCATCTCACTGCAACCACACAGACATCGACGACCACGACCACGACCGTCTACTCTCTCGGCTGCTCAACACACCAAGGACGGCAACTACTGCGCAGTCAACCCAGTGCACGCGGCTCTGCTACGCCCCTCTCGGTCATTCACCCTAAACATCGACGACCTTCCACCCTCTGCCACCCCCTGCATTCGACCACGACCGTCTACTCACTCGGTTGTTCGTGTGCCCCAAACGACGACAAGTACTCCGCAGGCAGCCCAATGGCTCTGCTACCACCCTCGCATCCCGGTCACGCATCGCTACAACCACTGCATAACCATCGACGACCATTCCATCCCTGCATCCGACCACGACCGTCCATACACCGCAGCCAACCAGTACACTGCCCCGCTATCCTCGCGCGACGACGAGGGCACCAGCCAGCGACGAGCACTGAGCCGATTGGGATCCATACAGGTACGCACGACGATATTCTCCGTCTTCATTCCACAACGCCCGGGAGTACACCTGCGACCATAACATCGCAGACCATGTCCAGTATCAGACCGCGGACAACTGCTCACCGAGCCAGAGAAACTGAAACCACACGCTACACCACATTAGTCTCCGCTTCAGACGACTAACATACACTGCCTAATTTACACACCGCATAATCTCATTGATCGTTCTTCGGCCCAGTTCGAACGCTTCACAACAATATTCTCTGTCTCCACTCCACGACACCCGGGAGGACAACTGCGACCACATCGAGCAGCTGCACATCCAGTATCAAACCGCGGACCACTCCCTCGAACAAGAGAACAGAAACCATGCACTACTCCAACTCTCCACGTCAGACGACTACTACATGCACTGCCTATGTACACCTGTAATCTCATTGATCTATTCTATGGCTCAGTCCGAACGCAACAGCACCAAGTGTCTCTGAGCGCAGCGATTTGACAGCACCAGTACCAAGTATTTCTGAGCGGAGCGATTGGTCAGCACTGCAACAAGGAACTGTTTTCTCGCGAAGCGATCAAATAACCCACCCAACACCAAGTGTGTCTGAGCGGGGCCACAAGCCCGACTCGGAGCACTACGACCGCGACAGTCCACTCGACTTGACCACGATGCTATGACTCGACTCGCGATACAACAGCGACCCTCAGCGACCACTCTCTCGCGCGTCGACTGCTCGCAACCCCCAACACACATGCAAGACGCTATCCAGACCCGCCTTGACTCTCTCACTCATCCGCACACGAGCACGACAGTGGCGCGCACACACGACACTGGTCCGCGATTGAGATACCACGACCGCCCACCTCGCCTCCGCTCGACGCTTATCAACGATCGCAGACCACTCGGCTCCGAACACACGAGCACACACCGGCATCCTTCGCAATCAGAGTACTGCAGACCCGAAGCTGTCCGTTGCGCTCCCCCAAGTAAGCTGCACCATCCACGCGGTCCAAACGAGCTAAATCGCGTTGGTGTAGTGGACGCCGACGAGATCCTCACCGAGCACCATATTTCGAGGGAACAGTTGCCCGTAGACGAAGGCGCCAACGAAACTGGTGTGAGATTGTCAAGGCCGAGGGTGCTGAGCGGAGGAGGTTTTGTGCGCAGCCCCAAGAGGTGAGCGGCAATGTCCGATCAGACACAGACCTCTTTGACAACCCCCCCAAATGGGGAATGCCGAGGCCCCTGGCCGATTTCACTTGGTCTCACCTCTAGGTTTTGCATTGTGAGCCCAGATGTTCTCAGTTCACCCCAGGATTTGGCAAGACCCCCCATTATGAGACATTTTACACGAGCCTAGATACTTGTACTATTATTTTTCTATCACCGAGGCCTTGAACCGCAATTTCCGGCCGTCGCCGCCGGATTTGATTGGCTGATGGCTTCACGTAATAATCGCGACGTGACGCGCATCGGTGCCATTTTCTTTCATCCTCCATGTACATCTCGGCTCTCGCTATATGACAACTATAGCACTCTATCTCACGGCTCGAGCTTCCGACTTCCTTCTCAGCCCCCAGGCTCATCCTCTCTTCTGACAGAGATGAGCTCGGAGAATTTGGCCGAGAAACACCTGGAATATACCTAGCCCCAGAGGCGTAGGTCCCGCAGCATCGAAACGACAGCGAGCAGGGCGCGAACGGGCGGTCGTGTCAGTCGTGGAGGTGGAGCAGCGGCGAGGACATGTACATAGCTGCCGCTAGCAGTAGTAATTACACAGAAAAGTCATCAGCATATTCAGAAGCAAGGACTGAGAGATCCCAGGGTTGCAGCTGACACTATACACAACGGGGGATGGCTGAGCTGAGTCGCGCGGGTGACTGAAAATACCCTCACCGGAGATATGCCCTTATCCGTACATGCCGGTTGATCCGCGACCCCCCCCCCCCCCCCCCCCTTTGAAAAAGGTCCCGAAGAATGGAGGTTGATGTCACCGATTTTGATGCCGCTCACCTCTTGCGCAGCCCTCTTTCGTCCATAAACTGATTAATGAAGATATTTTGCGGTTTCTATGTTGTCCGACTCCTTTGGTAGTCCTAGTTCCGCGTCGCATGTGTGGGGTAGTGGTAACCTGGGTCGTTGCCAGAGAATTGTCGGATTTCTGAATTCGACCCGCCGGGGGTTCGATTCCCTCCACATGCACTGAAAGATATCTTTTGTTTTTCTTTCTGCCAACTTGCTGCGACCAAATTCATTTCAATTCGTTCTCTCCTTATAATTGATGAATAAACTTGCATCACATCCCGTGTCCCTGCAAATCTCCCCACCGACCACGGTGACACATTCAGCCCAAAGTCCGCTCCCCGCCTGATCGCCACTACCAGCACTGGCCCACCATCGTCCTCGCCACCTAGTGCATCTCCTCTCCGGTCCTCACAGCTCACACACAGCAGGACTAGAACTAGCAAAAGAGATATGCACCAGGTATTACTCAGGACTCGCGGTGCATGTAAGTATCCATGCAAATACATATGCCCTTCCAAGTCCCTCTTCACCCCAAGTCCCCCTGAGTCGTACACAGCACCGGAATAGCTGTCCAAGGTGTGCCTTGGATGTCAGCAGAAGCTGTATCAACATCAACAATGAGCACGCAGGACAGAGGCCACAATGTGTCCATTCCATATGAATGCCGGCCGCCAAGGTCACAGCTGGCGAGTTGCCCCGTACTCGCGGGTCATGCCAGTGTGTGCACAAATCTCACCCATCACTTCGACCTCAGGATGCCGCGCGTCGAATTGACCTCTTCCGCGATAATGTTCAACCCCACCCTTATTCAATTACCATGTACTCTATGCTCAAAGTTTATTGAATTCTAGGGCAAGCAACCCAAGGCGACTCTAGGAGCATGTTTGCAAAGCATAAACGAGTAGGCTCCGCAGCGCTTCTGTTTGCTAGAAGGGCCTTCTCGCCCCAGGGCAGAGGCATTCATTCATTGGATTCTCGGAGCTAGCCAAATCATGGCCAGTCACCCAACCCTTTTTTACTTGATGCGTGCTACCCTCCTTGTTCACCTATCGAAATATGTATGTGTGTAGCAGAAATTCGCATTTTTCCTGGGCATGGCCGAGGTTCGAGTTAAATAGGCAGATTCTGCTGATGTCGCATTATGTGCATACACACCTTGGGCGCTACAGTTTTATGTGTTCTACAATGGAAGTGAGCAAGCGACAAGTGTGGGACAAGGCTGCACTGGACAGACAGTTTACCTTGTACATTTCAGGTCTGTTCAGGCCAATTTTCCAAGTGATTCCTGGGATCCCCACACCGCATTGGAGATACTTCATCTGTTCCTCACTCTTGCTACATGATTTCCTGCTTCCCCGTATGCCATAGACTCCCCAGGCAGGCCCCAGAGAGAGTTACTTCATCTGTTCTTCACTCTTGCTTAGTGATTTCTGGCTTCCCCATGCAACATCCGCTATCCAGGCACCCCAGAGTTAACTTTTAAGTACTTCATCTTACTCTAAGTGATTTCTCGGCTTCCCTTTTGCATTGGCCATGTAGCCTGCCTCCTGTAAATTTGTCTCCACGCCCGCCTAGCTCAATCGGATAGAGCGTCAGACTCTTATCATAGGCGGGTATCTGAAGGCTGCGAGTTCGACCCTCGCGGTGGGCTACTTACTTTTTCATCTTTGTTGACCATCTTTGTTGACCACCTGTTTCATATTTTCTCCCGTGGTTTATTCTCGCCCACAAATTGTCGTCATTGCTTCTGTGAGACTCTCTGAACGTTTATCTGAATCTAGCGCCGACTCCAGGAGCTGAATATTTAGGGTAATCGCACTGTTCGTTCCCAGTGTGAGAGTTGGTTCCGGGTTTCCAGCCAATAAGCAGCCTCTACAGATTTCGGTACTAATAAGCTCTAGTACTCAACTAGTACTCCCAGATCTCATCGTCGACACATCACAGGTGATAAAGATATTTACGACCTAGGCGTCCGACCTCAGTCCATAACTAAATGCTCCTCGAAATCCTCCGTGATTCGGTGCAGTGGGAAGTCGTGTCATGTTCGAAATTCCTAGTCTGCTCACAGTGCTTGTGATTGATGTTACAATCCAACCAGAGCGAAGTTCTGCGATTTGGGGCCGTTTGTTGGAATTTTGAAATGCAAATATGTTCAAGCGTCGCCGCGTCGGTCCGTCGGCCTGTGGGGGATGGATACGGGGCTCCTACCGAAATGCGAAATCTGGATGTACTTGGTTTCGCGCCAAGGTGCCACGGCGGGCCCCGATATAGATTTGGATAGCTGCGGCTCTTTCGGTGTGTGCTGTCTTCGAAGTCGAAAGCAGAGCCCCGGCAATTCCGGCGACCATTAACTGCGGCGGAGCATCCGACCCTGGCGTGCAGGTCATTCCAGAGAGCCGCCTTCAACGTAGTGAGGGTAAAATTCATTTAAAATATGAGATATGGATGATTCCGGAAGCCGTTGACGGCACTGTAGGAAGGTGCTTTCTACTGAATGGGTGTTTTGAGTTCGAGTTAGTGAGTTTTGAGGTCAGGCAGGTACACGGACGTTTGTGGCAAGTCCCACAACAAAATGTAGCCCAGTCGATACGTACGGGCTCTTTGCGGACACTAAGGAAAATATACCGCGCTGATTTCAAACCATGTGGATTGCGGAACAAATTTCGGACTGGGGACGGAGGCGAACGGCGCGCCTCGCAGTACGCGCCGGAGTTTGCGGGTTGGAGCCAGGAGATTGAGGGTGAACGAACCGACCTGTGCTCGGTGTCACCGACCCATGCGTCACAATGTTTTGTGGATTTTGACGAGGGATTGGCGAAAAATGGGGTGTTTGTGGTGTGATATGATGGCTTTTTGCAAATTAAATTGTGACGGCGGGGTAAGGGGGGGTAATGGCGAGCGTCGAGGTTGGCGACGGCGAATTCTAGTACCGTGAATATGCCGTGTTAGAGGTCGCAGAGCGGGAATTTGGTGCAAACTTGATGGCGGAAGCGGGAATGAGATATGTCGGCGGACGGTCCGCTGCAGATTCTGACGCAGGATGGGTACGGAATTGTGAGAATTTTGCGTTCGAGAGGGCGGACATGTTAGAAGTCGGAGGCAGGCACACGTGGCGGGGAGTTTACGATTCTCAATTCCGAAGGTGGCTCGAGGATACGGCGCACTTAGGCATTCCGAATTTTTCGCTCCGAAGCCTTCGCGGAAGTATATCCCCAGCACAGCCGCGATAAAGGCGGCAGTAGAAAGGTCAGGATGGCGATACCGCTCTCATTTCTCGATGAAGCTTTGTTTTGGCAGCGCAAATTATCTAAAAAAAATGTTCAGCATTGCGTTCAAATCTGCCAGGGGGTGGCGTTCCCGCACGTCCACCGTGGCCCAACTAAGCGCATTCTGCAGCCACGGAGGCGCCCGACTGCGGTGGTCGTCATTGGCGTGATTATCAGACAGAATTCGTCTTCTTGAAAATATATTGGAGCCCGAGCGTTGGGCCGCTTGGGTGCGAACGGTATAAAGCACAGGCCCAGTTTCAAATCTACTAAATACGGGAGGATTAGAGACTCCCGACGCACGCGTTGCAATGCACCACTGAATGCGCCTTTCCATGGATTCTCTGGAGGAGTGGATGGTGAATCACAGGAGCTTTCGTCCGGAGGCAGCCAGCTTACAGTGGAGAGGACATGCGCGCTATGGTATGCGCGAATTATCCCACAGAACTCGGAGCGCAGCAGAGACTTGGGTGGAGGGGCGCTTGTCGATATCGTACGCCCACGGACCCCGGATGCGGTTGCGGTGGCAGTAGATGAGGAGTCGGTCCTCCTCTGGGCGTAAGACGCGGCCTCGGTACTTCGCTGCATCTACCGTACACACGACGGGCTCTATGATTTTCAGGATTCGCATATGAATGACACGACGACCGGTATGCTCATGGAGTGCCGAAGGTTCGAAACGGGCCGTGGCCGAGCCTGGGAAGTGTGATGATTCTGGTGGCGGACGAGTGGAACAACGTACCAGTCCATGGAAAGCATATTTTACCTGACACATGTGCTTTGAACAGACTGTCCATCCTGACCTCGTGCATTGCCTCTCCGACAACTTTCAGAGTTACCTCGCGCGAAAAATGGACCAGGAATGTCGAATGGAGGCCGAACAGTGTGTATTGAGGGAATATGGCAGCTCGTTGGGAGAAGACCTCGCGACACCGTGATAGCTGCTCACTTGACACTAGACCTTGGT